TTTTTTTTTCAGAGTCTTCGACTTTATTCAACAAGACCAGCAGCCCAGCGGAAAAGCGCTTCGAAAGCAGCAATACGTACAGATCAATGAACTACACGGAAATGAGTTCTGGAGGCGAGGAAAAATTGTATTCGTCCTTGTCCCGGTCGCAGAATTCCCCCAGCAGAATTTCAGACGAAACAGTGCAAACCATCAACGACTTGGTTGACGCAGGTCCTGCTTCCACCTTCAAACTGGTTCCTGTCCACAAGCAATCAGGGTTCGTCATCAGTGCCAATGATGCGTCGCAGTCGGATATCAAGGTGATCCAACATATCATTCAGCCTTTCAGAGAACAACTTTTTTGAGTACCGTACATTTGTCAACAAAAGCCTGATTCATTAGACTGTTCATCAGTGGTCTGGGGTTTTAAATGGCAATGACGGGTGTCCTGTACTGTATTGTGGAGGAATTATTCATAAAGCATGAAATAATGCATAACCTGCATATTGGGTTACAGTGCTGGGATTTATCAGCACCATTTTGTGCCACAAGGAGTAAAAAAATAAAAAAAAACCGGAGAACTAGAATCATCAAAAGAGCCAAAGTTGGGAAAAATCCCAAATTTTTTTTAACATCCCTGCAGAAAGGGGATTTGGTTGTGGAAATCTTGATTGAACCTTGTGAACGCTGAAAAGCAGCAAATAAAGTGTTCTGTTCATTCATTCATTCACATTCCTGCAGAAACATTTTCATTAAAAAGAAGTTTATTGTTGGGTGGCATTTTTTCTTTATTCCTGTCATAGGATTAGAATTGAAAGGTTTTCAGAATAACGGCTTTCCCTTTCCTTGATTTTTTGCAACTTTGGCTACTCAGCCAAAGTGGCATTTCACTGGCCTTTGGTGAAACCAAAATGAACAAGAGTGCTAAGAAACCCAGCACTGCTGCATAATGGAAAAGGACCAACTGCCACCCAAGAGGGTTAATACAATTGGGACCTCAGCATATGGAAAATTCAACTTGGCAAAACTCAACTCTTGCGCTAGGCCTGTATACCCATGACCACTGAAAAATTAAAAACAACTGTATTTTTGTACCAATGCTCAAGTCAGGAAAAATTTAAATATATTTCCATATTCCTGATGAAGTTTTGCCTGTACAAATTCTCACTGGGTGGTATGTTTGATGCATTTGTAGAAAAGGATGAGCATTGCACATTTCTAAAGGGAAAAATGTAACAGGTGGGTCTAAAAAGGGTTGAATCTGGACAGGTTGGACCCCTGTAAAGTCACTGGAAACCAGTTTGACTTTACGGGGATTGGAAACTTTTTAGGACTTAGATGGTGTCCTAGTTGTATCCAATCTTCTGTCATTCAAGGGTTAAAATTAAAAAATAAGTCTGCCTCAACAGCAGGATGTCTCAAAATACAGAAATTTTCCCAGCATTTCTAAAAAAAAGAAGATTTTATTTATCAAAAATTGGAATGTATTTTGCACCAATTGAGCTACTCCTTATTCACAACAACAAAAATGAATTGTATGCTATTAAATGAGTTGAAGTATTAGTTTTGTTCGAAAAAACTCATATATGACGTACAAAGTAGTAGACAGATGTCATATCGTTCTGAACAAGAACAAGAAACGAAGAACACGAGAAAAACTATGTTCTTCGCCAGTTTTTGTGTGATTTTTTTTTCTGCACAGTGATATCCTGGATTTTGATGTTGAGAATTTTTTTTTTCATTTTTGGAATTGATCCTATAATTTTTGATAAACTCGAGAAACAATTACTCCAATTGAAGTCTGAGGGCAAATTTTATTCAACATGCAGACACTCCAACATACGGACAGGTTAAAGTACCAATTACGTCCGCATCTTGGGGCCCCACTCATTAAACAAAAAAAAACTCAGTGGCTGAATGTCAGATGTTGGCTTCACCTCTAAAACTATAATGTTGATGCTCAGCCATCAGAATTTGCACATGTTAAAGAACTCAATAATCTTTACAAATGTTCATGTTTTGGAACACAAAGGACTTTGATTTACAAACTTTCTTCCTCAAATACTGTTTTTCCTCGTTCCTAGGTAATTATAAAAGATGAAACCCATGGCTGTCAATTATTGCATCGCATCACGGACAACTTGGATGGAACTTTCACAATCCACTTCACGCCTGCAGAAGCTGCAGATATTAAAATTGACGTTTCAGTGAAAAACAAGAAGGTCAAAGGTTCGTAATTTATTCGACGACTTTTGAAAAGATTCAATTGTGCAAATGTGTTCTTCTATATTTCACAGGATGTCCGATTCAAATGTACTCCTACGACGCATCGCAAATCCGTGTTGGCGTCATTCCCGATGGTTCTGTTGGCAAGCCTGTTGAATTCTCGAGTGAGTTACATTCAATCAACAAACATTTTAAAAATTAAACACGATTGCATATATCATTAACCAGGATTGAGATCGACATGCATTTTCCGATTTTTAGATTACAAATAAGAATGTTTTTCAACGAATGTTGGATGATGAAAACGTGTTCAAAGGCACCAGAAGAAATGTCAACGAAAAAAAATACTAAATTCGTTGTAACAACGAATTGATTTTCTCAGAAGTCTTCATTACATATATATTGGAGCGTAATTTCTAAATTTTGTTCCAAAGTTTTTTGTGTGGAAAAATTGAACAAATTTTCTTCATTGGGGACACATTTCAGTTTTAAAAAAAATTGGAATAAATAACAGTGCTTCTGTATCTGCTCCAGGCCAAAAATATTTTTTTCACTGTTCAAGCTTTCAAACTTCTACAGTGATAAATTTTTTTATTTTGCTTTAAAATATTGTGATCAGGTCCAAAAAACTTTGGTTTGAACTTGAGCTTTTAATTCCTGGAAAAATGTCCAGATTTCCTTCAGGAAATCTCCATGTAAAAATTTTTTATTACACAATTTTGATTTTTTTCTTTGTAAAAGTGTATTCCTAAATAATTTTTCCTGCGTTATTCTGAAGTTGATGGAGCTTCAGCTGGAGCAGGAAACCTGGAAATTCTGGTGAATGGAGGACATGTGACTTCAAACATTGAAGACCTTGGGGACCAGCAATTCAAAGCCTCATTCATTCCCCATCAAGCAATTCCTCACACTGTGGACATGAAGTTCAACAATCAACCAGTACCTGGTTAGTCCTGCAAAATAAAATAAACTTCAAAATCAGTGTACCCCAACCTTTTTGAGCCCACAGACCAGCAAATCACCTTACAACTTTGTGCAGAGTAGCAAATTTCCAAAAACATTTCTGCAGACTGGCAAAGTTTTTTAACATTTTTGCAGAAAGCTTCATGGCAGGCATTTAAAAAAGTTTCTGCTTTTTTGCAAAAATTAAGATCCAATGAAGTAGGCATATAGTAGAATATTTTCAAAAAATTAGAAAAGTGGGCTTGAAGAAAGATTTCTCAGACTTCAAAAATTGAAATAATTTCTTTCAACATGTGAATTCTTTTTAAAGTGTTAAGAGAAAAGCCAATTTTTTTCTTTAGATAATTTAAACTATCATTTGTTTTTCCAAGGTTTCAGATGAAGATAACATACTTCATTGCTACTTTTCTCAATTTATTATGCGGCAGAAAATTTTTTGTGGACCAGCAAAAAACTTCTACAGACTGGTGCTGGTCTGCAGACCATAGTTTGGGGAACACTGCTTTAAATCATTCCTTCAAGAAAGTCATTACAATCTAAAAAAAAAAGATTGGTTATAAAAACATTCTTCGTGAAGAACTTTTAAGAAATTTCTAAAAAGTGGGGAGGGACCTAAAAATAAAATTTCATTGTGTGCAAGAATTTATAACTTTGTAAATTTTAACAGGATTCTATGTTTATGATTCACAATTTTTTTTATACCCAGTATTTAAGCATGACATGAATCAAGTCACTTTAAATATTATCAGGGTTCTTGACTTATTTACAAATTTCAACCCAACTTGAAGTCATGCTGTTGAGACACAAATCTGAAGCCACAAAATTTGAAGATGAATTGATATAATATTTTCCTCTTATTTTTCGGATAAAACATTTATAAGTTTTCTTTGTACATACTGGTAAAATGACTCAGATGAATCAAGGCGCTTTTTGACGACTGAATAATCACTTTCAAAAATATTTCAAGCGTTTCATCCCTTCTTACATATTCAAACACATGTAATTAACCTTTGTTTGAGTTTCACGAGAATTTGAACAAGAAATGAAAGGATCTTGGAACTTCTCAGCCATTCTTCGCCATTTTCGAAATTTATTTTCATAGCTAATTAAATTGAATTTTTAATATGTCCGACAAGGCATGAAGTTTCAAAAAAAGCTTGATTATTTTCAGGTGGTCCATGGCACATAAATGTGGATGAAGGTGGTGGTCTCCATCGGAAAGGCGTGTCGACACTGACGAGAACCACTGTGGTGTCGAGTGGTAACACTGGCAGTGCCAGACGGGGAAGTCTAATTCCTGTGACACCCAGAGTCCTTAACGCAGACGACACACAACACGTGTCAGTGGGCCAAGTGGCGAGTTTCGACATTTTAGCGCCTGGCTGCAACAGTCGGGAACAGTTGACCGTCAGCGTTCTTGGTGAGTTATTTATCGTCGATTTGTATGGATATTTAAGTAAAAATAATGCGATCGAGTAAAATTTTTCTTCAAGATATATTCCTGTTGAACCTTGATAACTCGAATTGTTTTCAATAGTCCCTGTCTGAATTCTCTTAGGATCATTCCATCAAAAACCTCTCTAACTCAAAGGCTTTATTCCCCACTCAAACCTCCACAACTCAAATTTTCTTAAGGCTTTTGGCTTTTTGTTTTCATTGCAGTAAGAAAGAGAAAAGCAATAAAAAGGCAACCTTATGTTCTTTCAGACACAATGGGCAAATAAACCCTTGCATTCTTTTAGGGTTTTCCCCAAACAAAGAGATTCAATGAGTTAAGCACCACAATCAGCCTGGGAATGGCTGGGAGACTCTTTATAAAAGGTGCCAACAAATGGATATTTATGTACAGTATGTCCCAAAAGAATCAACAACTCAGCATCTTCTTCAAGATAAATATACACATACACAATAATTCACACAATTTCTCAAAGAATTGTGGGGGTATTTTGCAGTGGGAGCTGAGAATGGGAATGAAGAGAATGAGTTCTTGATTTCTGGTTTTAAAGGTTTTTATGCATTCTTGAGAAATGTTTTGGTCAAACTTGTGCTTGATGAAGGATGGGATTCTTTGCTGCCTTCTGATTGGCCATTTATGTCAAGATCAAAGACAATGTGCAGCATTGTTGTTCAAGTTTTGAAGGTTTTTGGGGGCAAGTTCTTTGGTGCTGTGAGCTAGGTTTCCTGAAGCCCAGACCCAGTTTGTGGGATATAATGTTTATTGATTTAATGTTTAATTAGTGTGTGCTGCAGTCCCCAACACATTCAAAAATAAAATCTTGTCAACTCATTTAAAAAGCAATTTTAGGTCAAGAATATCAACAATTACAACTTCCTGTAATTATTTTTACCCCAAACAAAAATGCTGGTTTACCCTGACATAATTTGTTCCCTTATCCCTTGAAAATTTGTCAGTGCTTCATAAAAAATTTATTACGGATTTGTTTTTAAATTCCAATCAAGGCCCAACGAAGCAGCCGGTGTCGAGTCGGTTGATTTCTTTGGACCCGACGTCGGATTCGTCCCCGAACTTCAGAGTCGAGTTCACAGTGGTAGATGTCGGGTCTTACTACACGAAAATCGCGGTCAAATCAGACAGTGGCGACATCTTCGAGGCCGTTGGTTCGCCTTTCCTTCTGCGCGCTTTTGATGCATCCTTGATCCAGATGCTGGATGCACCCATTGCTGGCAGGTGAGGTTTTCTTTTTTTTTGTTTTTGCAAAATTTTGTTCGATTTTATGAGGATTTTGAGAAAAAAATTTTCCAATTGTGAAAAAAAAGTTCGGTCTATTAAAAAATAAGTCATTATACAGATGGAAGAAAATAATCACATTTTTAAGGATCAACTTCATTAAATTGAAGCCTTTTTCCAGAGATAATTTTTGCCTTTCATTGCCTATTTTTAAAATTTGAAAACCGAACAATATTCGATACTCGTGTGCTAAATAAAATTATTTTGACTCTGATCTGCATGAAAAATCAGAATGAAAAGTAAACGATCACCTGTCCTTTCAATTCTTTTTTAATTGCCCCTCTAATGGAATGGACCGTAAAATTGCATAAGCGAATTTTCCCCGAGTGTGCAGATGGAATAAACTCAAACTTAGATTCTTGCTGAAAATTTTTACGATTGTCGTATATCTTTAAAAAAAATGAAACTCAGTACAATATTCATGTGTTTGATTACTTTTTTTTTCTAGTGTCGGGAATAAGTGTGAGTTCAGAATTGATGCGAGTCAAGGGCCCCTTCCTGTTGACCTTTAAAGTTAAACGTTACCCCTACACGGTTTACTACACTCTGAGCAGCCACCACCTCAAACACAACAGTGTAAGTGCGGTCTTTTTGGCTAACTGGTGCTGTAACTCTAACGATTCAATGGGGAGCCTATCACTGGTCAGTACAATGCAATTTCATACAGAATAAAATCGAATGTCTAAAGAATTCAATCAAACAAAAATATAAAAAACCCCAAAACCTGCAACGAATAATTTATTTGTTCTTTTTTGAGAGGAGTAGGAATTTGATTTCTGCGCGCATCGATGGGGGAAATTAATTGTACACTATTGTATTTTCTTCTTTTGATCGTTATTTTCGTTTAATTAGTGATTGTCGACTATATATTCTTGAAAATGAAGAAAAATTCCATTTTGGAAGAAAGGAAATGACCTGGAAAGTCTCTTGGAAAATTTTTATCAATTTGCGATGCTTCAGAAAAGAATGAAAAAATTCTAAATTCCCTGAAATTAGAGTCTCCTTCTTAAAAATTTTGAATTTTCTTTTAATGGTCTTCAACAAAATGAAATAAAATTTCCAGATATTAATACGTCTGGGATTTTTTTTCTTTGCTCCAATTGAAGGGTCGCCGTTTTACTGTCAAGTAACTGAGGGTGACAAAGTGAAAATTGACTTGCAACACTTGGAGGCGATCCCGACTGATGAACCAGCTAGTTTCCTCATCAAGGTTGATGGAACTGCACCAGCTGAACTCAGTGTTTCTGTCCGTTCTCCTTCACAAACCACTCTTCCTGTCAAGGTGAATTATTTTGATTTTTCTGAACCCTGTATTCTGTCATTTTTAAGGATTATTTGAATGCATCCATTTGCCTGGATTCCCATGGGTAATTATCTGTGGGATTTTCTTCAGCTTTCTTGGGTGGCAAAAAAAAAAATACTGAAGACCCAAATCAAATCAAATACATTTTTTAAGTCCAGTGCTTCAATTTTCCCTGACTTTGGCCTGTTCAACCTGGGAGCATTTCAGTGAACTTGGATCAAACTGAATTGTGTTTCCATCTTATAGAAATCTGGATTTCACCATGTAATGCAAAGGAGCCCTCTGCCACCCAAGGGTTAAAATAAAACTGCTACTAGAAATTCTTCATTTCTTTTTACCTTTCAAAAGTGACTGATGGATTTGTGAATCCAATTCAAATCTAATTTTAAACTTTCAACTTTTTGAAAGATTTAACATTCACAAGGAAAGTATTTCCCTGCTTTTAGCAATTTCTAACTGTTTACTTGCTCTATAAATAGTGGAATAGTGGAATAGTAGAATTGTTGATGAGTTGTCTCAACTCCCTCAAGTTAACTTTCATCAAAATAGATGTCACTTCTGTCATCATGCAGGACTCAGATGGATTCTGATGTATTGTTTAACTTTTCAATCAGGTTAATGGAACCACCAGGACTGGGTTCCACGCGGAATTCTTGCCCAAGGAAGTGGGGACTCACACAGTGTTGGTGGAGTATAATGGCGCCGCTGTGCCTGGTACCCCTTTCAA